TTATCATCATGATGATGAAATATTGGTGATGTGATAACTCATTATTATTCCTGATATTTCTCTCTCGCTCTCTCCTCCCCATATTTCTTATAAAAATTGAATTGCACAATCTCACCATTCCACATAAATTGTCACATCACCAATATTTCATAACATTATATCTATCACGTGCTTAGTATTGGAAGGTCACAAAGAGAAGTGATGGTTGCTTTGAATGAACAGTTCAGTAAACGAGTAACTTTAACTATTCTAAGGTAGCAAAAACTTGTCTCCCACAAGTAGTGATTTGTGAACAACATGCAAAGCTCAAAGGTTGTCCTCCCAATATGCCCAAACGCGAAATGTATCCATTCAAAGCATTTTACATGAAAGAGTCTCTTTACAGAATATATCAATTCTAAAGGGGTTGTGAATATTGTTGTACGAACATCCAATGCTGAATATTTCACATCCAAACTTATTGAAATAATTCAACACATTGTTGTCCGTCGGAGCAAGACTTGTCAAAACATATCAAAAAGGTCAAAAAAGAACATTCCCTTCAAATACGACACAATACGGGTCATTCTTAGCCATCTTCATTTTCGATTAAAACAAGTATAATCTCAATCTCCAAAGTTTGATTCTTCCATCATCCCAAGATTGAGGATCAGTTTACTCGTTTATAAAGATTAAAAACCAACTTGCTAATAGATAGAGTAATAAGTTGAAGAGCAACTTACATTTTTCTCTATAAACAAAGTGAAAACTTAGAATTTGTACTTATTTTAAGTCCCCCCACATAATGTCTAATCTCAGACAGTTGAGGTCCCCACCTTTTTCGAAAGTCATATAAATTTATTATAGCTGCCGGCATTTTTCCTGTGGTTGAACGGTTGGATCGTAGGCGGAAATGAATTTTTTTTTTTTTGGTCTTTTGATAGTGATGTAAGGTTAGTTCCAATTATTATTCTTATTACTTTGGTGTATCTAGTGCAAACCAATATTGAACTTATTTCGACAATTTAATATAGGCCTATGAAATTCAAATGTTAAAGTAACAAACTGGTACAAATGGACGTAAAGGTCTCAAACTCTTAGTTTGTTATGAGTCATGGATTAATAGGGACGTAAAGGTCTCAAACTCTTAGTTTGTTATGAGGCATGGATTAATAGGGTCGTTAAAGTAACAAACTGGTACAAATGGACGTATAGGTCTCAAACTCTTAGTTTGTTATGAGTCATGGATTAATAGGGTCGAATGTCGACCAATGACAATCATGATTCAAACTATATCGTAACTCTTGAGATGGAGACGATACTTGTCTCAAATTGGCCCGTCTTTACATTATGTAGGTTGACATAGTTCGAGGGGAAAAATTCACAACTCAAACTTTATATATCCCAAAATAAAAAATCAGGCCCCAAAGTTTAGAATTGCAAAAATCAGGTTTTTCATGAATTAATTAATTATATTTTACAATTATTATATTAAATTAAATATTTAACTGTAATATAATATAATTAACCCACCCCCACCCCACCCCACCNNNNCACCCCACCCCACCTCACCTCACCTACATTCCATCTTCATCTCCACCACCCCCACTGCTACGGCAACTACTCAGGTTTCGAGATCATGGATATCTTATTAAATAGATAAAAATTTAATTTTCGGTTACAACTTATTAAATTAATTGATCACAAATTATTTCGAGATCACATATCAAAAAATTGAGTCATTCACAATTGACTTCATTGGTCACTGATAAAAAAAATTACAGGTCACAGATTTTTTTTTATGGAGGTCACAGATTTTTAATTGGTCACAACTTAAAAAAATTATTCCATATTTGTTGGTCACATATTAACGAATTTTAAGGTCACAGTCCCAATCTCAGTACACCACCAATACTTGGTCACAAGTCATATATCGACCAAATGGTTGGTCACAGACACATCATCCCATCCACCGAACTCGTCGCCCAATCCCAATACACCACCAATACTTGGGCACAGGACACAGATCGACCAAATACACATCATCCCATACCTACCGCCACCACTACAGTCACAACCACCCTCCAACA